TACATTTCCGAGATCAAAATTGCGATCCTCTGTTGAATTTTCCGACTTATAAAAGTCATTGAATAAAACTATTTTTACGGATTTTATCGCGTTTAATTTACTTATTTTATATTCCCGACGTTTCGGTTGCTTTCCAGCAAAAAAAAAGAACACATAGCTGACGTGAAGCACCAACGTTCGGGGAAGTCTGCAGTTTGTGATCATATCCTAGACGGCCCCCGTCATTACATTAGATTTGATAAACCACAAGTCCTCGCGAAAGAACATCGATTCCTGCCAAGGATGATACGTGAGGCTATTGAAATTAAAAAACATCCTAATTTCAATAGAGAGGGAGGCTGGGTACTACCACCTGCTTGGGATCCTGTAATTCATAAAATTAAAACTAAACCCAAGCATACCACTGTAAGACTTCAAGACACAGTTAGTTCATTCTGCGTAGATCGGACCAAAATTAATAATTAAAAAGCTGAAGGTACTCCGGGTTAACTTTGACATCGGGACGTCAATCACCTCAGTCCCCCGTGACCACGGTTGCTGGAAAGCAACCGAAACGTCGGGAATATAAAATAAGTAAATTAAACGCGATAAAATCCGTAAAAATAGTTTTATTCAATGTGTAGTGTTCGCGTAAATATAAGAAATCATTATAAAAGTCAATTAAATAGCCGATGTGTGCCATAGTTGCCAACGCTTAGCAAGCGGGTTTGCATCCACAGTTTTTTATATTTTCAGTCGTTATTAGGAAGACGCTGCTATCCCATTTCCTGATGTTTTGCCCTATCTCGTCTCTTACGACACCCACGGGAAGTATGGTGGATATTTTTACACCGCCACTACACGGTAAACACGCATAAATGATGTGAACTAATTTTTGCCTTCGCTCAAACCATCTTCGGACAACAAGGTGCTGTGACCTGTTCTAACCAAACAGTTTGCTTTGTTTTTTTTTTAAGACGGAAAGGAATGAAATAATTTTCCGGCTTCCATCTTTCCGCCGGATTACAATCAGGGTCTCTTAAAGGCTATTCAAGAGTGAATAGGTTTTTGTTACTTTAAAATAGTGCGATTTATCATTTAGAGTTTTATCATCGCTTACCACCAGGTGAGATTGTAGTCAGGAACTGCCTTACAATAAAAAAAAAACAGTTCATTTACGAAAATTGCGTTTCGGTACCATTCGGTAGGTAACTTTCATCCTCAGTTCATTAATCAATAGAACAGAATGACAAGCGCAATTAAAGAAACAATTAGTCTAACGATATAACAAAATAAGAAAGAAAAGTAGTATTTGGTACTATAATAATATCTGTATTTTTTGTATAATTAGCGATCCGCCCCGTCCGTTCGCTCGGGTGATTTCTGTATCTTAAAAACAGCGCCACCTACCGGGTACAATTGTGAATCTATAACATTCAACTCAAACACATACAAATATTTTCATCAGAACAGTCCACCAGTTTAGGAGGGGTTCAGTGACAAACACACATACAGAAGAATTATGTACATAAAGATGAATGGCATATTTTGAGTTGTCATTGGATAGTTATTATAACAAGAAAATTGGGATTGAGTTCAGTAAATGATATTGTAACTTTGAAATAGTTTTTTTGCATGATAAATATCCATTAACAATAAAAGAAAGTTTACAAAAAATTGAATCAGCCGCGTTCTTTTTGCGTAGAAAATTCCGTGGCAACGCTGATGTTCGGTAGAATATTCAGCGACAATATATAACAGTCAACAGAAAGTTTTACGTGGTAGAGCCATGCTGCAGCTATATTAGTAGTATAGTTGTAGCACGAATGGGTCGGCTCGACCGGGGAAGGACAACGCTCTCACAGAAAACCAGCGTAAAATAGCAGCTTAACACTGCTGTGTTTCGTATGGTGAGTGTAGAGAACCAGAGCCCCTTTTTACTGGCAAAGAGGCATTCCATCTTAGTCCTCACGGGTAACAACGCATCTGCATCTTGAGTCTTTATTCAGGATAGATGTAGATGTCTATGGGTCACAGTAACCACTTACCATCAGGTGGGCTGGTGCTCGTTTGTCACCCTATCCTATAAAAGAAAAAGAAAATGCCTGCAGTAGGTATAAAAGATTGTTTGTCTTTGATTATATATTACTAAAGGTTTTAGTAGTAATTTTTTTATAAAAACCAGTTCAACATAATTCTGAAAATATTTCAAAAAATATCTAAGTATTGTCGTCAAGTCGGTCACATGCTATTTTTAACCAGTGATTGATTGGATGGCGACGGTAAAAAAATATTGGACTTTTTATATTAACACGTATAGTTAGGGTCTGATTTACTCATAGGACAATTAGGCTACAGCCTAGGGCGCAAGATTCGAGCGGTCGATGAGCTTGCCTTTGAAAGTACCACTAACGTACATAATAAAATTTGGTATAATATTCTCAATAAATAATACAGAAAGTGCCGCAAGCATATTACTTGTTACTCTTTCTTTATTTTTGATACAAAACTAATAAATAGATTGTAAAAATAAGAATGAATTATTTAGTACCTTTCGTCTTTTGTTGACTGTCTGGCTGTGATCCCAAAGATTTTAAATTATAAGCACTACGTGTTCAGTGATGTGTGTTTTCTTTGTTAATATATCAAGCAACGCGGACAAAGTCGAGGGTATCAGCTAGTCGTGAATAAAGTTTTAAGATTGTCCGCAGGATAGCAAAATAATGAAATATGTATAACAGTAGTTTTACGTAATGTCCCATAAGGATCCTAATGCTGGCCACTGGCTTCCACCATGATCAAGAGTAAGAGAGCGCAGAGTCCAGGTCCAGTGTATATTGGCCAGATTTTACAGGTCCAACTTCGTCTTCTCTCATACCATTTTATGTGTTTTCTCTTCTTTAATAATCTCCTTAATTTCATTAAGCATTTAACAATTTGCATAAGGTAGGGAGCGTCTTTTAAGCACCTTAAGGCACTTGTGTCAGAGACTCCCGCTCTTCCACAGTCTTGTGTTGAAAAATAACAGTTTTTCTATGCTTTGGTTAATGAATTGACTAGCAAATGCAGTTTTAACACAAAAAAAAGTTAAGTACAATATCTTGCTCAAATTGCTCAAGCTCTCTTCTCTACCTCTAATTTGTTTGGAAATTTTTTGTCAAGGCTGTCCAAGGGAACTTCAGCCAGCCATCTTTTCCATCTCTACGCAGGGTGGACGACTCACTTGCTCGTACCGCAAAGGAGAAAGTCGATTTTTTAGGTTATTTTTTGCGTCCAACTCGATGGCGGGGAGTACACACCTCCGACCATACTACGGTGTGATTGCTACACAGCGCTCAGTGTGCAAAGCACTACTCTCCCTGGAGTTCAAAAAGTCAAGTGGGCCTGAAGGAGTCTTTTCTGTTATTCTGAAGACGGGTGCTGCGGAGTTAGCACCGGTTCTATCGCGTCTTTTCCGGTACTTCTACTACTTAAGCGTAATCCCGAACTCATGGAAGACAGCTTTTGTGCACCCGATTTCTTACCGCTCAAACCCGTCCAACTACAGGCTTATCGCCATCACTTACTTGTTCTCCAAAATAATGGAATCCACTATAAACTGCCAGCTCTTAAATTACCTAGATGACCACCAGCTTATTAGTGACCAATGCGGTTTCCATTGGTGTCACTTAGCTCTGTAGAATCCAAGAGAGAGGCATTGGTCGTTACTTTGGACATAGCAAAGGCCTTCAATGGGATTTGGCACAAAGCGCTTCTTTTGAAGCTTTATTACTATGGAATTTCCGAGAAATTGTGCAAATGGATCATCAGTTTTCTTGCAGATAGAAGCATAAAGGTCGTAGTAGTCGGTGTATACATACTTCGACTGCAAGCCTATTAATGCTAGTGTTCCCAGTGCCGTCTTTAGGATCAACGAGGCTATGGGCCAAGGTACTGGCTGGGGCCTATGTAAGGGATGGAAAATCCTTAAATTTTAACTTTATCATTTTTCAGTTTAAAATAACGCAATAGGCTAAATCGTAACCCCGTCTCTTAACACCCCACATATGAGAGTTCAATAAATAAATTTTTTGAATCTAAAAAACTAATACCCCACCAATTCTAATTTAAATAAAATTGAATGAAAACCATATATTATAACCTATACAAAGAACAATACTTATATTTATTCATATACAAATACAGTACTCGGATACCTAGACGTGCATGTATGAAGAAGATAATGAATCTGAAAGAAGCGAAAGAGATATGTAAGGATCGTGACACTTGGCGATCTGTTCTCTCTGGCTACCCCGTCAGGGATTGTGCGTGAAGATAAGTAAGTAAGTAAGTATATACAAATATATGAAAGTGACGTCATCCGTGACATCATAGCCTATAACAGCATTGGTTAGCGAGCCACTGCATACCAAGTCTATAACTACAGCGCGATGCTGCGCCGAATCTTGTTTAATAAACAAGGGCTATCGGTTTTTCTTCGAGGAAGTGCCGTAAACTGTCCCCGCTGTATTAGATCGGACTACAATATTTCGTCGTTCCGGATCGACCTCAGTTCTCAATGGCTTCTCAAACGAACACTTGGCATTTCAACTTATTTCTTAATTCATTTTTACTTTACAATTAACTTATTTGCTTTGTTTTAAATACCCGTAATTTTAGCCATGCATACATTTAATTTCTTACAATTTACAATTTTCGTATATTTTAATTTCTTTAAACAAACGATTAAATGTAATGTTTATAATGCCATGTAAACGTTTTCTCAATTACAATATTCAAACTAACGCGCCAAAATCTTCATTCGGATTCTTACGCATGCGCGCTCTTGCGCGCAAGCAGAAGCGCGGTGGTTTTGAAAGAAACTTGTTTAAGCTTGCTTTTGTTTTTGGTGAGAAAATGAATAGTCAATGTCCGTGTTTCGACATGTGAAACAGCCAGCAGGTTCATTACCAGATTTTCACGCGATGTAGCAACAGTTAATTTAGTATTGTTTATCGAATCATTTGAAGTACATCAAAATCATGAATCGTGTTTATGAAAGTGGTGCTGCAAAAAAACGAAAAGCGAAAGAAGAACAAAAGAAAATAGACAAGTTACCAAAAATTACTGGATTTTTAAAACAAGATGACATTACTAGTAAGTAATACTATATATTATTTGAATTAAGAGTGATTAGTTCATTAATTGAGTCCTATAACCTCATTGTTGTTCGCATGTAGCAAAAGTTTTTTTTTATGAAAAGTCGATTTAATATCATTTTTATGAAATTAATTTATGAAACAAACCGTGCTAACAGTATGATAATAAGATCATTGCATTTTATTTATTGGGCAAAAATGATGAAACGCCAAAAGGTACCGCAGATTTACAGGAAAATGTTATTCAAAACGAATCAGTCGATTTGAATCCTTCAGAACAGTCGGAATTATCAGTAGCTACACAAGTTCTTATAAATCATAGAACAGAAGGTAAATAAAGAGTTTCAAATTGTAAATATTTAGATTCTAAAAAAGCTGAATAATTTTAAATATTTTTTTCAATTAAAAGCGATTTACAAAAATATATTTTATTTTAATAGAGGAGGCAGCATTGAGAAGCACGTCAGAAAAAATTGAAAGTTATTCGACTGATATTGCGTTATGGGGCGAAATCAACGAGAAGTTACGATTATACTGGTTGCAAAAAAATCCAGGTTTATGCAGCAATAAGGATAAAGATTTCTCAAAATCTGCACGGATTTACCAAGAAGGAGATAAACAAAAAGTGAGAACTCTAAACAAATCATTATTTCAATTGAAACTACAAAATAATGAAATAGTAGAGCGTGAGTGGTTATCGTATTCGCCATCAACTGGACGTATATATTGCTTTGTATGTCGACTTTTTTCATCTGAAAAAGATCAATTTACATTTTACGGATTTAATGATTGGAAACACCCAGAGCGAATTACGGAGCATGAGCAAAGCAAAGCTCATAAACAAACTTTAACTATTTATTCTAAACGGAGAAGAGAAACTGGTAGTTTAGAAAATGCATTAACGATTCAACAAAAAAATGAGAAAAATTATTGGATTCAAGTATTACGTCGAATAACTGACACTATAAAGTTTCTTGCTTCACGAGGTCTCGCTTTTCGAGGGGAGAACGAACGATTCGGATCTAGTCAAAATGGCAATTACTTAGGTATTTTAGAATTACTGAGCGAATATGACCCTTTCCTTAAAGAGCACATTAATACCTACGGAAATAAAGGACATGGAGTAACATCATACTTATCAGCTAATATTTGTGAGGAATTTATAGGCCTTATGGGGGAAAAAGTTCTTGCTTGCATTATAAGTGAGTTGAAGAAGGCAAAATATTATTCTTTTTCTGTGGATTCTACGCCGGACATCACTCATCTAGATCAATTAACGTTCACCGTGCGCTACGTTACCGATCAGGGGCCTATCGAACGTTTTTTAATGTTCGTTCCTATAGAAGGTCATAATGCCGAATATTTAACAGAGGTTGTAGTCAAATTTTTTAAAGATAATGATATTGATATAAATGACTGTAGAGGTCAATCTTATGACAACGCATCGAATATGTCTGGACGCTATTCAGGACTGCAAACCAGGATAAGGGAAATCAATAAGTATGCTGATTATATTCCTTGTGCCGGGCACTCGTTAAATTTAGTCGGCGTTAAGGCAGCTGAATGTGTTAATGCAGTCGTTAAGTATTTCTATATCGTACAAAATTTGTACACATTTTTATCAGGATCGACTTATAGATGGCAAAAACTATTGTCATATTTAGGAACGAAAAAAAAAGTCGTTAAATCTTTATCCGCTACTCGATGGTCAGCCCGAGCTGATGCAATCATCGCTCTTTTCACAGGTCATACAGATATTACGAAAGCTCTAGATGATTTATCAAAGGATGATACGCAGTCTAACGAGACTAGACTTGAAGCTAAGACCATTTTAAAGCAAATTACAAAATTTGAAAATGTCTTTATAACTGTGGTATGGCACGAAATCTTGACACGTATTAATGATACATCTAAAAATTTACAAAAAGAAAATATGGATTTGTATATAGCATGCAGTCTTTTAAATTCCTTAGAATTGTATTTATTGGATATCAGGGATAAATTCGATGAGTTTTTAGAAAAAGCAAAAAGCTTTACTGATATCTGCGAAAGTGAATCTACATCTGAGCCAAGAAATCGAAGAAGAAGCGTAAAACTTACTCGCTTTGAAGGAGAGAGTGAACATACACAATTTACTGGAGATGAAAAGCTCAAAATAGAGATTTTTTATCCGATAATCGATTCACTTTGTTCCAATTTGAAAACCAGAAAAACTACTTACGAAACGGTGAATGATAACTTCAAGTTTTTTACTGCTCTACCAAACATGACATACGAAGGAATAAAAGAATGCTGCGAAAAGCTTGCCAGAAAATATGATCAAGACATTTCTGCAGAAAATTTAATATCAGAATGTTTACATTCTGATATTAAATTTAAAACATTATCTTCGTGATACACGAAAGAACGAAGAATTATTTATTCCTGATCTATACTTGCAACTGAAGAAAGAATTTCTGACGTCTACATTCCCAAATATTGAAATAAGTCTCCGAATATTCCTTACCCTAATGATCACCAATTGTGCTGGTGAACGATCATTTTCTAGATTAAAGTTGATAAAATCCGATCATCGAAGCACAATGTCACAGTCACGATTGAATCATCTAAGTTTAATGAGTATAGAATCGGACTTATTAAAATCGATTGATTTTGATGAACTCATATCTAATTTTGCTGCGAAGAAATCGAGAAAAAAAGTTTTTTAAGCTGTATATAATTACTGTTATTTTAGTGCAAAAATAAGTTTTTAAACAAATTTTCTAAATCTTGTTTCTATTTTACCAAGTGTGTGATTTGATATTTTTCTTATTATGTTATAAAATTTGTTGTTGTATATCGAAAATTTTCAGAATTGTGGGGCCCCTGCCTACCTCGGGGCCTCGGGCCAGGGCCCTGCGGGCCCTGCCTTAAAGACGGCACTGAGTGTTCCACAAGTCTGCGCATGATAATGCGCAGACTTGTGGAACACTATGTAACCTATGCTGTTTCTTGTATATCAATAATTATATGTTGCAAAACGTGACATTCATTGTTTTTCATTCATTCTATACGGACGACACCGGACGTGTTAATATTTCTCGGGAACACGTCATCGCGTACCGATACATACTTATGTCTGAAATCGAATCTTAAATAAACAAAGTCTCAGATTGGGGACGACTAAATCTAGTCCAATTTAAACTTTAAAAAATACAGGTTTGCCCGTTTATCGCCAATTGTCGTATCTATTAAATTTCAGGGCACTCCCCATACCTCGGCCAACATCGGAATCCTCGGCATCAACATATCGAATGACGTAAAGTTCCGCGGTCACTTGAAAGGGAAGGCTAAATTGACCTCTAAAAATCTTGGCGTGTTCAGCAGAGCGGGACAGTATTTCATGCGGGCACACCACTTGCAACTTAACAATACGCATATTCGGCCTCATATGGAGTACTGTTCTCATCTCTGACCTGGGGTACCCCAGTGCCAGCTCCTTCCACAGCATAGAACGGCTCGAATAGACCGAGTTCTTTCTGATTGGCTCGAATCGACCGAGTTCTTTTTGATCGGCTCGATTCACTCGCGTTACGTAGAGATGTTGCATCCCTTTGCATTTTCTATTGCATTTAACACGGGGAGTACTTAGAGAAATTGTTCGGAATGATTCGAGCCGCCAAATTGCATTAACGCACACCGGGATAAAACTTACGGTGCCTTCCACATCATCTGACAGTGCTGCAAAAACAAAACTGGCAGAAATTTGAATTACCCAAAATAAATTCACAAAAATACTATTCACCTATTTATGCTTAACATCAACCTGTAAAATTTATATAGATACAAAAATAATGAATATCGAACAACTATATATTTACCGTACATGTATTATCATCAGAAAAATTCTTACTAAAAGTATTCGTACAAACATAACACTCACTCAATATAAATAAATCAGTCAAGATAGCACACAACGAGCTAGCTTAGTAGTCTTACCCAAAACTAGAACTAACTATGGCAAAAAATACTTACTTTTGAAGGAGCGCAGCTTTATAATAGAATACCCTCTAGTATAAGAAATGTACACTCTATCCAATGCATTCAAAACTTAAGGTAGTATATAATTACGGATCGATCACTTCTGCAGAAACGAAGGCATTGAATGGGTATATCTAGTTTGTAACTGACGACGACGCTCTTTGTGTAATTTATCAATGTGTTAATATTGTTCTCAAGTGAGTGACATATGTCTTTATTCAGAATAAAGTTTCATCAAACCTGTCTGGATTTTCTAGAAGTTTTCTACCTCGCAAGGTTTCTTTGTGCAATCATCTACTATCAACAACTTTTTGGACCGATAAGACTTAGAGACCTTCAAGAAATGAGCTTACTCTCTTTTTAAAAATGCTATTCTCCTGGTGTTGCAGCTGTTCTTGGAGGATGGTCGATACTTACTATCATCAAAATTTGATTTAGTGTGAGTGAAACAACGGGTAGTAAGCTAGTAAAATATAAAAATCTAGTAAATATGTTCGTGGGCTGTGCAGGCACAGACGGAACTGGCCGGTAGTATAGGTAGGTAGTATTCATAGTTAGCCTAGGGATGTCGGATCTCTAAATCGGGCACTGTGTATAACAAACAAAATATTAAAGTACATTTATCACATGTTTGTTCGGTATGAGAAACCCGATTTAATGAGATGGCAGAGGTGAGCGAGTCGCGTCACCTTGATAGGTCGTCTCTCGATAATAAACTCTAAACTCTCCGCTTCACGTTCGAGGTTATTAATTTTGTTGTGTTATTGTTTACTTTTACTTATAGCTTTCTATTAAAAACTATGAATTAAACTTATCTTATAAGTTATGACTTCAGACGGGTATTAGTTATTGTTCTGCCAAAAGTTTTATGAAGATATAAAGTAAAAGCTCGCTAAGTAAGGCCCATAGACAGTATGTTATCTTGTTGTACCTATATGAGCACAAAAGAAAAGTATCTCATTATTTATCTTAAAATTAATAGCGTTTCACAGGAGTTCTATATCGTGTCTCAAGTTCGAAATTAATACAAATCATTTAATACAAATCGTTAGTTATTACAACCTTTGAAAATTAAAATAAGCCTTCGCCGGGTAACAGGTTTTAGGGGGCGGCATTTTGGGAATTAAAGTTAATTTCAGGCGTATTTCTTTCAAGTGTACGCGGGAATGAGCCCTGAGCAAGTATTGCGAGCATTTCTTGAGATTAAACCTGCATAACCGTGAGGTTGCTAGGGCTATGAGAGGTGGAGGTTTATACCTACCTTTTTCGATAATGCCAGTAAAAATCTATGAAAATCTGGAAAGAAGCTGTTATAAAATACTTTTAATTAAAGTATGACTAACACTACACATAAAAATAGAAATTGTTTTAATAATTTTAAAATTTTGAGCCGTTTGAAGATCATTAGTTCTTTTCGGGGATTTTTAAATTTTTCTATTTGTTATTGGTATCAAGCGGTCCCATGCGGTAGTTACGCTACAGATCAAGTAAAAACAATGGCCTTTTACAAATTGAACGCAAGCATAAATGATTTTTTAATAAAACAACAAATTAAGCCATGTGCGCACTATATTGACTATCCTAGGCCATTATTATTTCAATTTTTTTTTATATTATAAATAATGTTATGTTATTTTATTTTATTAGATTATCACTCATAAATCCTATCTGAAAACAGCTTCTGGGTTGTGTAACAAGATCCTGGATTATAATAATAGTATTTATGTGTGTTTTGTTGATTAAAAAACTGAGGATTTTGCTTTTGAGGATTCATACTCATTCATACTCAACCTTATGGACAGAGGAAGGTTATGTATCGAGAAGGCAATTACTTTTCAAATAATACTGTTTATTCTTTAATTTTATTGAAGTCGGTTCTACAATTTTTTTTTAATTTCACTACTTGTTTTAAATAAAGCCAGGGAAGCTGACGCAGGAGGTAGGTAGCAGCATCTTCCTGATAACACCTGAAAATAATAAAAGACTGCGGTTGCCAAGTTGCAAATGTGGTAAATTTTCCCCTTATGTGACAATCTTTGTGGGAGGCCTATATTGTGTAGTAGATTTTTAATAGGCTATGATGAATGAATTTTTAGTATATAAAAATAAAACTAATAAAACATTTTTACGATTCGGGGATAGGGATTCACTACCGTCGTCGTTATTACCTTCACTATAAATGGTTAAAATTATAATAATCTTAACACTTGAGATTGGAGCTGATACGAGTATCTATTATAATTTAATTTTATATTATACTCGCTGACCAGGCAGACGTCGTACTGCCCCTCCGACTTTGTCCTACAAAAATCCTTAAATTACCAATAAAAAATATTGAGGGTCACTTATCGGGATAAAAACTATCCTATCTCTCAAGTTGGACCAAACTGCACACAGTGTGTAAAATTTCATTGAAATCAGTTCAGTAGTTTAGGAGTAATTTTTATATATAAAGATTACAAGACTTAACAAGTAGTAACATTAAACATTTTGCATAACCGACTTCAATATAAATAAAATGAGAACATCATCAATGTAGTCGAAGTCAATTAAATACGCATTATTAAGGATAACTCAAAAACTATAGATCAGATCTTGATCTTTATATGGGATCACATGAAAAGCACCAGCTTTCAAATAAAAAAGAATCATCAACTTCGGTTCACCTAGAAAGCTTTTCTTTGAAGTCTGTAAAAAAGGACCTTTGTTAATCGTTTGATAATTATTATTCATATGATAAAATACAAGATAAAGAAATTAAATATTACAATTGTGCGAAGTAATTGTTCAAGAGTTTTACTTTTATATCCAGTCAAGTTATAATTTATTTTACTTATAACTTTAGTCCGACCATTAAAAATCAGGCATAAATCAACAAAATCTACATAAAGAATATTACATAAGCGTGGTTGCGAATCGATCCGCCCTCACCTTCTGCTCCACATTTGGCAGCTGTTGGGTTTGGTGAGGTTATAAGATCGATTTTTGTTGTTAAAAAATTGTATATTTGATATGAATGAAATCTGGATCAACACGATTTTATCTTCATTTATACTCGAAAATAGTCAGGCAAAAAGGTCTTATACAAGAAAATATAATGCAATTTTATTAGTAAAAAAAAATATTTTACATTTATTAAGGAAAACATTTAAAATATTTCTTTGCTCTCTTAATGTCAAAGAAGATTTAAATATCACTGTATTTGATTATAGGCATTTAAAAGATTAATGTTTGATATGGGCTTAAAAAACTTGAGGAAAATTGAATTATGTTGATGATATTACTAAGATATCGTCATCGTTAATCATTAAATTACGTCATCAGTATGAGGCTGCCACTCGAGAACCTTTCTTCCCCATAGGTGTTGGTTCTTCG